ACGAAATAGTAGAATACACAGCTACTCTGGCGTGTTGCAGTCAAGCCATAAATAACGGGAACGTCGCAGAGCCGGCATAGATGCAAAGTATACTCTAGGCGAAATTCATCGTGCCCACGCGCATAGGGCGGTTATGTAAATTTCGAAATTCTCTACGAGCTATACGCTGAAATCCGGGGGCTTGTAGCAGGCCCCTTCGCCCCGTAATACGTACACTCTGATTAATGTCGTCGCATTGAATCGACAATCATCGCGCGCGAAGAAGCGAATTATCTGTGCTGAGGGGACATCCGCCTTTCAAGATTATCACCGATTTATTGCATGTTTATCTTGGCAGCTGTACCGCTACGATGGCTGTGATTAGATTGGTCTTTGAGAGCCTTCTTTCCCTCGTAGTCTACCGCGTAATACGATTACAAACTTCGCGCAATCAATCATCTTATAAGCTAGATGCAATTCTAATTGAACGATGGGCGATATTTTTCTAAAACCGCAATTTCAAGGGAAAAACCGACATCTGACCGTATCGCCAACTACCTACTCGATTATTCCCTGATTCACTTGCAATTCAATTTAGCAATCAGGAAACCAATTATAAAACGCAAATCATCACGGGCGACCTCTCAAAATTCAATCTGCCGCTTCCCGCTAGCCGCCAAAAAACCAACTACATTAATCAAAATATCAAGAGAGCAAAGCTTATAATGAGTTGCACTATTTAACGAGTTCAGCCGTGTATGCATGCGTTTGCAATTAAACGAATTTGCTGCTAGCAGTGAATAAAGTCGCGTGGTAGGCAATAAATTTCGGGGTCAAACTGCTACCGCTGTGGGTCTGGAAACCTCATCAAACCGAATAGCGCCGAGTAAATTATGCTCGACTCTGGCCTAATTTGCCTCTGTGCGGTGTAGCGCGCGCGCACACAGCCGAATGTTTACGGATGCTAATGAGACGTACCGAGCTCTCCTGCCGCTGACGAGCTCCGAGCATCTGTTTTGTACCTGTGGGTCCGTCGGGCCCTTCGACTCGCGCACTCTTGTCGATTATCAACTTGGTGTTCTGCCTGCTAAAATTAAATTCATGTACCTGATAAATACCATTTTGAAGGTCTTCCAACTTGAGAACGCAAAACACCGAAAAAAAATTGAGCCATCATAAAATATCAATTTTTCGAAACATCGGCACACGCTTCAATTAAGCAAACGAACAGGCAAGCAAATATAGTCTCGCCGTCGCCACGTGGAAATAAGCTATGCGACGCCAAGTTTCCTTGAAAGTTATAATATCCACGGAGTGCTAAGGACACAACGGCTCGGTTGTGTCAAAGAGAGGAGTGGCGCACTAAGCGAATTTCTTCGCGTCTAATTTGAGAGAGAGAGCGAGTTTCTCTCTGACGCGCCCGACAATTGGGCAACTTTTCAGGAGAGAGAGAGAAGTTCAGGGCATGGAACAAGTGTGGTGTACTGTCTAATTGCTGTTAAAGTTGACGGCTGCGATTCGCCCGAGGCGCTGTTCTGCTCTACTGACGGTATACCCATTTTCGAGGCTCGCTGTTATAGACAAGAGAGATCTTGGAAGCTGTTTGTAGCGTGACTGATGCTTTTGATACAGCGCTGCGTCGCCGTCGCCGTCGCCGTCGCCGTCATCACCGCCGCCGCCGCTACTGGTGACGCCAACTGTGTTTCAAAGACCTTACCAAAGATAGAAGGGGGAAGAATGAATTAATCCAATTAGTGCATCGGATTAAGAGATTTTGAAAAAAATTAATGAATACGCCGTATGGTTTGAGAGAAGATACAATGGTTGAACATTATATAATAATTATGCCAGATTGTAAAATGATGTGCTTGTTGAATTGACGAACGCGAGTTTTAAGTATAACTTCATATGAAAGTTAATAAGTTTTTATTTGACGTCGTGTGTAATCAATCGAATATAAGCTCTCCTTCACCAGATTGTTAATTAAAAGTATGAATGAATGATACGTTTGTAATGAGCTTGATGCGTTGACTATTTGACTTTATTCGTAAGAACAAGATAACAAGGAAATAAAATGAGAAAAAATGTTTATTGCGTAAATGTAACATTTATTTTTGGCATGATTTTTATGACAATAGAGATACACGGATTGATAAGTATAAATACAAAAATGAATTGACTGTAGACAGGACTATGTAGTGAAAATACATCGAAGCCTTTTTTCTCATCATCTTTTCGCGCGTACCTTCTATTCCAATGTTTTTATTTGTTTTAGCTATCTTTTCCAAGTATTCGTTTCCGTCTGACTAGAAACATACTCGCATTCGTAATATATTTGGAAAAACGAAAGCGCTTCATTCCTTTGCTTGATTAATGCACAACTCGCGGAGATTATAGCTGTGGAAATAGAAAGCACTCGACAGTCGAGTACACGTTTCATCTCTTCTCTTTTTATACTTTCGAACAGCCTGCACTTTAACCGCATCCATTATCATATATATTACATTTCAGTCCGTGGCTGGTATAATACAAAGCTCATCGTCATTATCGGACGTAGACTCAACTTTGTATTTGTTTTCCTTGCGGTTAAACGCGAAGCGATCGTACATACTTTAACGACTATTTACAGCTTTGATTTTTTAAGGTATACTACTGGCAGTTTCTCATACAGCAGCGGACCAAAGAAAGTCAATGTTCGCAAATGATCAGAATGAGCGTACAAGAGATAAAATAACATCAGAATAAACGGCTCGCAGCAAAGTGCAAAAAGATTATGTTGCGTGCAAGGCTTGCACGTAGTGCAACCGACTCCTGGGGGGCTGGAACAAAAAGTGCTCTTTTTTGTGATTTTGGCACGAGAATATCGTCGTGTGGTGGTGGTTTGGGTCGCAGGTGCGTGTTAGCGCTGGACCTACACAAGAATAAATCTGAACACAACAATCTCGCTCACCAAACTCTTGTTGTATTATACATCCTTCTTAATCGTTTCTGTTTTTATCTTCTTTCGATATTGGCATCGTTTCTTATCTTCCTTCGATTGCCCTGTCTTTTGCATAAATGTTGAATAGCATGCTTTTGCCATAGTCCGTAGAAGATAAGGTCGAATGCCAATACCACTGTACGAGATAATCGCATTACAATTATACTTGAGTTATTTATACGCTTTACATAATTCAATCATGAGATATACCTATGAGATACGCGTAGTGTGTCGAATACAATACGAATCGTACTGATTAGTAAAGATCACAGCCATAGCTTTGAATACGAAATTCCCGTTCGTATTTGTTAAGACCTGTTCATATATAATCATATAACGTGTTTAGCGGTAATCATAATAGATCTATTTTATTTATTTTTCTTCTTTGCCTTTTTCAGATACTCGCCTCGGTTTTCCAGATTTACAGTTCATAATTTTCTTGTCGTTGATCGCTTTACTTTTAGTTCTCTGCCACGCTACTTCTTTTTTAAAACTAAACATCGACTTATAACACCTTCAACATTTAAAAAAATCGATAATCGTTTCTTTTTATTATCGCTCTTACTTACGTCTTTTGTGGGCAGTCGTAAAAAGTTTTATATCCGGGAAAACAGGTTTTTCTTTTTTCTCCTTCCTTCCGGATAAGCATTTCAAAATTTTCAATTCGAGAGCGAACGACTATCGATTTTCGCGTTCTCGGGAGGAGTTTAGCGATTCGATCAGCAATTTTAATGTTTCGATAAGGAAGGAGGCCAATAAGAGTCTTGGACTACGAATAAAAGTCTTGGAGCTGATTTTCTCTTGCCTCGCAACTATTCCAAGTAATAAAAGCTGCGTTGAATTCTCAGATTAAAGCAGGAAAGAGCAAATAATGGGACAAGAGAATCCCGACGAACCTTCTCGCTAAACTCGCAAGTATCTCGAGGACGACGGCGTGACATCGATTTCTACGACACTACGATCTACCTACGATCTATCCGACGTCGAGGATGCAATCGCACATTCCGCTCAGCTTTCAGGACGGCGCGAGAAATGCTGCCACGCGTCAACGTGGAAACGAAAACGAAAAGAGAAAGCAGAGGGAACAGATCGATCGCCTCTTTGATTAATCGAGCCGTAAAAACCAGGCGATCTGCAATTGCTTTGCAATTTCTAAGCGACAGACACGCCGAGAGTATTGGGCGGATGCATGGTCGACGAAACTGGTTGTTATATACGTATACGAAAAAGTGACTAGAGACCCGAGCGTGCAGCCGACCAAGATAGAGTGTGATACATTATTTTTCTTTGTCGAATGGTTGTATCTCCAGATTTTTTTAAGCAAGCGTGCATCGTTATTTGGGTCATAAGCTACAGCTAAGTAGTTAGGAGGGACCGTGATATCGGACGTTTACTTTTGACTTAAATCATCCTAAACTAGAAGAGAGAAAGAGAGAGTGAGAGAGAGAGAGAGAGAGAGAGGAGATAGTTAAGGACACCGACACGCAGCTAAAACTCTATACAGCTCTATTCTATGCAATCTATAGAGGAAGCTTTGGCATTTTCCAGATTTTTGGCAACAGCTCAGACTACTTGCCTTCGTAGTAATATTTTCGAGGCTAACTTGCGAAATGTGAAGGGTGTAGAGGGCCACTGGAATTTTTGAAAGAAGTCGTTTAAGCTGTGCTACTGAAACATTTTGGGAGAAGTTAAGCTTTTTGTTTAGGAATTGGGACGGTTGAATTCTTTCTTGTGCGCAATATTAAAATTCTTTTTCGTGTTGCAAAAAAAAAAAGAAATGCAATACCTGAATAACAATTTTCGCCTACGAGAGAACTAGATATTAGTCTATAAATAAGCGCTACTACTTTTATTTCAATAGTTAATTATAGTTTCTAGTCCGATCCTTTTTATTCTGAAAATCATCGTTAGAGCAGACAGCCACGTCTAACTGATTTTTCTATTTAAAGAATTCGGCTTTTCTCTCTGTTAACCCTGTTACGTGCCGTCTCACATGCACAAAAAATATAGATTGAGTTCGAACTTTTTTATTTTTGTTAGATTACGTGTACACATATAGTTTTTTTTTTTTGTATTCTCGTAATTCTCACATTATGTCACTTATTTACCTTAGTCTCACGACAACTTACACGGTAGGACTGCTTTACTTTATTTTTACTATTTTTGGCACTAACAACTATATGGGATTATCATAGTCGATGTATTCCGAAAGCGACTGAAGTGACACTACTGTTAGCATCAAGATAATTTGCACTGACAGCCATATGACGTCAAAAGGTATTTTTAATTTGATTGAGTTAAAAGTTATTGAACAAACATACGCACACATAGTGCTTGACTTTTTTTGTTTACTTTTTTATTATTTTTAGTTTCTTTATTTATTTACTTATTTATTATATTTTTTTATTAAACAACGCTCTTGCAAGATTTACCTATTGAAAATACATATTCGAATCCTTTATTTTTCGTGTTTGATTGTTGTGGAAAGTTATTGGGTATTTACTTGTAACTTCATATTAACATTACCGTAATTTTTTACGCTGTAAAAAAAGGTAATGCAATTTGATTTAAAAACTAACAATGAATTTGTTTGCTTTTAATTAATGAAAGATAATTAACATAAACTAACCAGATATTAGATAAATTTTTAGTCTAAATATCAGCAGCGTATATACGTTTTTTTACAACTTGACAATAATATTAGTAAAGGAATATTTACACGACGAATGAAAATAGTAATAATTAAAACTGACATAAATATTGCACTTTCCATGGAAATAAAAAGAGAACGTCGGATAGTAATTGTCATATCCAGTATCGTGAAGAAAAGGGAATGTAACAATGAAAATTTGGCTCAAGGTACAATGACAAACTATGTAGGTTAATGTTCGACGGATACGAAAATGTCTACTACTCGATAGCAAAAATAAATATATTCCACACACTATTCTCTAATGTACAATGATCCCGAGCAGAGAAAAGTTCTGTCTATTGCACATGTGTACCTTATATAGTTTGATATTCGTCTTAATACTGTAATATTGTATTTGCGGAACACACAACACGTCGTATCTCCTATCAATGTTTACATACAACGTATTTTATACAAGATATATTCAGGTTACAATAGATATCTCATGGGTAAATGATCGTCGATAATGAGCATGCAAAATTGGTTGGCGAGCACCTTACGCATTCTTTTACTGTCATTGTTATTCTCTGCGATACACATTTTTACGTGTACCTTTGTTTTGGCAGTTCTATAGTCTACAGTTTAACTCGCATGAAATCCCAGCCGAGAAACTTACAAGCTAATACTTTGGTAAAGACCCGATCGCAGTTTTGTTGCAACGACTACGCGCGTCGTAACGATAGAATGTATTATGGCAGCGCGTTTATTCTTATTTTCATACGCACTTGCTGAAATGCTTCGTCACGCTCTTTCGCCGATTTCGAGAGAACGCACCTTCATATCCCTTACGATCCCACGAATATTTATATCTTACAAGTGGAACAATGGCATCGACTTACCATTTTTCACTTTATCCTAACTTAGTAACACACGAAATTTTATTGTTTACTTTTTTCTATTTTCGTTCCATCGTAAAACACGTGTGCGAGGATTCCTTGGTATTAATTTTTTCGTCAATTTATTTCAAGTGTCTTTTATCACGAAACCTACATATTACAACTATTATGGACGTTTTGCTCTGTCATGGGGTGCCTCCGCCTTTTAAGTGCGACAAAACACACACATAATCATAATGATAAAAAATATCAACGCAACGTTATATCGTTAAACTTACTGTAAAAACTTTGGTTAAAAAGTTGTTGTCGATAAAAGCACATAGTAATTTGTAGTGCACACTTTTCTAATTGTACTTGCAATGTTCTTTACGTAAAAAATCGTTATTACATTTTGACGTTTGATCGGCTCTCTCACTAAATCGTTAGTATTTGTATCATCGAGTATTTTAGTGCCGTAAAGCTATCCACAATTAAAATTTGATGTATATAATCTCAGACTGTTACTCTGAATCACACTGGTTTAAAATTTATCTATGTTATTCTTTAAATCTCTTGTTACAGTTATTATTGTAACATTGCTTAGAAATCTTTCATACATTTTGTATTCTTTATAGAGTTTGCTCATCTATATTCTGCTATCGTGAACTAAAAAACAAAGCTTGATCCAATAATCCGTTCACTAAAAGCCAACCATCAAATTTTAACTCGCACTCCGCGTTGCTTGCATTTTTTAATATTCATATGAAACTTCGTCAATACTTGGAACATGGAAAAAATGGTTAAAAGACGGTAAGCACTTGCGAGAAACCATAATCCATCCACAACGGACGGGGGGTAAGAGTACGCATTTATCGATAAACTTTTTTCGCAAGTTGCGCGTCGCCGAATTGATCATTAATTTACAGATTGACTAACGCAGTGAATTGCGTCATCAATAACGAAAAAGGAAAAAAGCGCACGAGGCGCCACTCGAGGCACCCTATTTCTGTCCGCCGTCGGACAGCGGGGGTGTATCGGGGCACTAGGTCGGGCTTGGATTGTCGTAGACCTTCTCGTAGTCCCGCCTGCGTATCACCGCGAAATGAGTGGTCTGAAAGGTGTTGGTCTTCTTGCAACCGCGCTCCAGTGTGCCCGTCATGCTGTAGCCCATGTTGAAGTCGCTCGACGACACGTTCGACGTCAGGTACAGCTGCAGTCATCGTCGTGCCAGCAACCACGAACAGAATATGACCATACGCATACATAGAATCATTGAGTTATCTTCATTTGTTTTTCATTTTCTTACCAACATTTCTTCGTTGCATGTCTTTCATTGCATGTCGCATCGGACGCATACTCTACTACTTATTCTCGTCATATCAGTATAACATGCAAATCGAACGTCCACGTGAAAAATATAATAATCATGCTAGCTACAGAACTAGATACATGCATTTGGTTTTTGCAAATCATTATCAAATTTCAATCAATGCAACTCCTTGACACGTTTACAAAAAATTTACCCACGACGGTGAGCTTAGTACGTCTAGTAGGACAGCCTGACAAGAACAAAACCCTGCCGTATCTACGACAAAATAAAACATTCGGTCTAAACAGAAAAAAAAAAAGAAATATATGTACAGATAGTAGAGTTCGATGATGCACACGAACGAAAACAGAGAAGTTCGCGATAACGATGTCGAGCTTCTTCCCATAGTCCAATTAACGTTTCCAGAAAAAGAAACCACTCCGATGCCCTTTCGCGGACTCTCTAGATGAAATGCCCTGTTTATTTTCACGGAGTACGGTCACTGCGAATCAAGAGAAACTGAATATAAGTGCAGAGAGAGTCTGAGTTGAATATGTTGAATACGCTTTTGTAAATGCGACGAGGATTCAAGTAAGCTTTATCAAGTAGACGGTAAAAGATCACTTTTTTCAATTTTAATTCCAAAAACGCATTTCAGGCGAAGTTTGAAAAAATAGTTATTTAAGAGTGATAATTGGGAAAGTAGTAAGATTATTTGATTTAATCAAATTTTCAGATATGTCATCACGTTACGTTTTTTTACACACCTAGTCACAATGCAGCACATAATATAAGCGTCATGCACGAGTAAGAAAATCAGCTTGTTAATTTTCGAAGCGCGCCTAAGCTTAGGAAACGATAAATCTATTAAGGAGGAAGGTAGCGGTGGCGACATAGCGTAAATGTATTTCCAGGCACTCAGCTCGTCGCAAGAAAGACATCCAGTCAGCTCCGAGTGTTTAGTTATAGAAGGCGCTAGAGGGGGGGGGGGGGTCGGATTTGTCAGATTAACTGCAAGTAATTCAAAAGCCTTTGGATCTGTGCCACCATCATCCTCGGCGCGCAAGCCTACATAAACTTCAAGCCGAGTCTCTCAGACAAGGGCCGAAATCCTGTAAAGTCAACGTGGAATCCCAGTAATTCGCGTCCTCAAACTCATAAGCTATCGCTTAATCTGGAGCTGCACACGCTCGCGTACGGCTTTCCACGAATTGGCATTTTTACGTGTTCGCCTTAAGGGATCGATCGGCCGGTAAGGCTTTGCCAGTTGCCAGTCGTGCAACGGAGGACACGCGCTACCTCTAAAACATTGTCCTAGCTATCTGATAATCGTGTCTCGGCTGAGCCATTAAACAGCTAAGCCCTACTCCCGGCTTGCATCACTCAGCGATATTCCATGCATAAGCACAAACCAAGTCCAAAATAAAAGTGGTCTACCTTGAAATCTGCGTCGGTAGTCATCCTCTTGAAGGAGCCGATTATGTAAAGCGTCCCCGTGCCAGTGTCCACCATTTTCGCCTGCGTACTGTATCTGCGGAAAGGAATGATTCATTTTCATTAGACGACTATTTGACTTGGAGATCTTATTAGGCTAGTTGGACTAAGTGATTAATGGACCTGGAGCAACTGCCAACTTTCAAGTGAAATTAAGTATGACGGATTTCGATGTTACGTTTAAACATCGTTTCAGTTCCATTACTCGAAAAACTTGCGGAGCTCGCATCACAAAAGACATTACCGCGTAATCTACTCCGTCGAGCACGCGTACTTCGTGAAAATGTCACGACAAAACCGTGCGCCACTCGATCAATCGCTCAAGCGAGAGATTGCGATAATTGGCAACTCTCTCTTGGCCGCAAATTACTCGAGAGCCGTTGTCGTCGTCACCGCGAGTGCCGCTGCTGAAAGGGTTGACGTCTATGCAACGCCAAAGCAGCATTGTCTCGCGTCAAGTCGCGAAAGCGAAAGCCACTCGCACGAGACAAAAGATAGCGAAGCGAGGCGCTGTTCGCAGTCGCGAATCGCAAATTATTAGCTAAGGCTCTGAGAGAAAAGAAGAAGTTTAGTTAAATGTAAGCATCGCTGCCCTCTGTTTCTCGAGATCGTTAAAAGTTGGAGCATGTTGGTTCCATGTCAAGAATGTAACTCTGCGTAGGCACGCCCTTTATTTCCGAAAGGATACTGCAACTTGGTCGCGGCCAAGGGGCTTTTTTATGCGCGAACGATCGGACTAATGGCTTGCCACCGCACAAAAGCTCGCTCGTCTGCAGTGTCCATGTCGCTCTTCCAAGAGGACACGGAAGCTTTCTCAAGAGGCGTAATTAGGTTTTTTTAGAACTGTTCTGCGGTGCACCTTTGCCTTTCCTTGCAGTCTCTTGATGCAATTCACGCTCACCATAAGAGCCGGACAGATATCTCCGATTGATTGAGCTTGCAAGCTCGTTAGGCTGTAGCAATGGCCCTGCTTTATCTCGTCCCTTTTTAATCAAACTATCAAACTATAAGCGAGCTGAACAACACGAAGCCATGCATAACGACTTTGTAAATGTCAACCTCGGATGGGGGCAAGTTTAGAGAGGAAACTTCTGCGCCAGTCCAGACAGTTTTTCTAGTTTTTTCTAGTTATGTAGTTTTTCATATTGTTTGTTGGAAAATTGCCATAATAATAATTCTAAAAGTTTCAGCCAGCTTTATTGTCTCAAAAGGTCAGTACATCCAGCCGAAAATAAAACAGTCGCAGACTCGCGGAGTCTTTTATCGCGCGCAGCTAACATCAAGTTATCCCGCATACTATACTCGACAAGACTGAAAGAAGCTTAAATTCACACACTCAACTTTAAACCCCCCAAAGAGTAAGCTCGCACTTTACCATTCTCCATTAAAAAAAAATAAAGGCGTTAAAAGTTGCGACTGCGCTGAAGCTCCCTTTTATTCGCCGTAGCAGTCGAAGTCTGTCCGGCTCGTATAATGTCTTATAACTCTTCGGGAGATAAAAATGCAGTAGCTAGGCCTCGCGCACGCGACCTACTTTCAGCCATAGAAATATTACAGCCTAATCGGTGCGCAATCAAAAGCTCGTCGCGAATCGAGCAGTACTCCACGAAAAAAGAACTGCCAGGCTGCTTAATTTTACACGGCTGGGTTAATGAGGTTATCCCTGTGGGATGCGCAGCTTTTAGCAGACTCCTCTCTCTTCCTTTCATTAAAATTTTAAACGAAGCGCCGTTCCGCATTACGCGCCGTAAAATTAATCCGCGCGAGCGCGACGTATGTTTCCCGCGTTGACGCGCCTCGCGCAACAAAAAATCAGGCAACTTTTTCACTACGACGTATTTTTAATTAAATGTCCGCTAGCATTGTGCGCGCGCGTATTTGCGAGCAAAGTTCTCTTAATGGATATGCGCGCGCGCGCACGCCTAATTGCTCAACTTCTTTTTCCGTTATTCTCGTTCAATTAGCTCGAGGTTTTTCCGTTGCACTTTGTTCAAGCCGCGTCGAGCTTTTCCTCTTTCGAAATCTCAAACAGTGCGTTTTTGCCGACTAGCTAATATCGCAGAGCTTGATTTAGCCAAGCCTTGTGACTAATTGTTAACGATTGCGCAAAGGCAATCGGTCAAGTTTAAAGGGAATACGTGATCGGATCGCGCCTGCAACGAGTCCGAGAGAAATCGTCGGTGAAGAGAGCGAGAGAGAGAGAGAGAGAGACAGAGACGGCCCTCGAGTGAACGGAGAGTCCTGGAATATCTGCGGACAGAGAGAACTCGTAAAGCGACATTTACGCTCATCCTCTTTTCCCCATTGCTCCCCGCGCGGCAATGGCTAGAGCCCAGCTCCCTGTGAATTTCTTATCAGTCCGGACGCGGTCGTTGCGATACGTAGCCTGCGTTGACTCTTTGACGTGGAAGAATTGTGGTGTTTGACGATGGGGATGGTTCTAGTGCGCAATCGATTGTCTCTGCCGAAGGCCGTTGCATCATTTATAATAACCGATCAAAGAATAACTTCCTCGGCGCTCGACTGTTGAAAAATTTGTGGCAGCGAAGTCCCAGCAGGTTGAATAGAGGTGCGCGCGCAATCCAGGTTGCAGCAACGGCGTAGTTATGTGCGGGCAGATAGCGTGACATGGCTCATTGTTAGTTTAGGATCAAAATTTATGCTTGGTTGCAGTGCGCAACGGTGAATTTTGTATGGAACGCGAGCTTTAGCGAGAACATCGATGCAATAAAGCGCGCTGGGTAAATGTTTCGATTTCCGCTTGGCTGAAATTTCAATGGCGATGCCGCCGTGCTTTGTGCACATTGTGCACTCGGCGCGGTAAATCGCATAATCGATAAGCGTTTTTCGTCTCGAGCTCGTTCCATCGGTAGCTCTTTCATTAAATTAAAGCGCAAGAGAAAACGTAACGAAAGCGCACGCAGTGGCGATCCAGAGCATCGCTAACCGATCCTCTCTCCCTCTCTCAGCTCTCGGGATCCAAGCAAGGTAAAGACTGCTGGTTGTCGTTGTCGCTCGTAAAGCATCCCTATCGCAATCCTCCCAAACGGCTTTCTGCGAGAGAACGAGTATTCCCGGGAATCGAGCGGAAGAGCAGCTCCCTCGCGACGCCGACAATGCGGCCTTTCAAAGCTTTGAGACAGACAGACAATTACCGCGGCTCTGCTGGCAAATTCTAATCAGCTATAGGGCAAAGTGGAAAGCAGAGTCGTGGCAACTCGTAACAACCTGACAAAGACTCGTTTGCACGAAAAAATTTAAGGTATCCACTGCCCTTTCCGCCTCTCCAGTGCGATATCCTTACGTTTGTTCTCGCGGATAAAACAAACAACAAAATTGTTGGCTCTTTACGGAAGAAATAAACTTTTGTAAAGGACGTATCCTGATGCCACCGTGACTTGTTCCTTTTGCATATCAGCCGTAAAAAGAAAAGAAACTTTGGCGAAAAATTTTTACGTTTACAGAGGGTGCATTCTAGTCACGTACAGCCGAGAAAATTCGATGTGCTGGCGTCGTCCTCTTTATCACCTTGCCTCTTGGTCGCACTTGGGGTGATCTCTATGCACCAAGCAAGAGAGAGAGAGAGAGAGAGAGAGAGAGAGAGAGAGAGAGAGAGAGAGTCACTCGACGTGTTCTCCGGTGCCACGTACCAAGAGATATAAATCGGCGAAATAATATTCGGCTAAGACCAAGCCCATTATAGCAAAACTGGCTCGACTCGGCTAACAATCCCGTTTTCTTCTATTTTCGTTTGCAGCTGGAATCATCGATGAGTACGGGCTAATGTTTAGCGACAAACACGCGTTACCTCCTGGTGCCGGCAACCTCGACGACTTTGCAACGACTCCGGCTCCACCAGAACGGCGTGAGCGTCCAGTAGGAGCTGCTTGCGCTTCTTGCCCAACCTTCCTCGGGAAACAGTAAGACCTGGAACAAAAAAGGTAGAAAAGGAGGTTGAGAAAAGTGGATAATTTTTCTTTCTCTTCTCCGTTAACTTTTTTCAGTGGCATAATTTTACGGGAAGGCATCGTTGCCGAGGTCAAATGTGCGCCCGGAACAACGGCTGTTGCTACGCTGAATTTGGCTAAAGAAGCAGAAACAGTATTTATAACCAAGAAAGTAGAGCTAATTTTAATGTTCCACGGCGATGCTCGTAATCGGTCGATCGACATCGACATTGGTCGTTTTAATGGTCGAAAAGGGAGAGCAAAGAAGCACGCCAGGTCGAGTTTGAAAGCACGTGTAGCGAGCGTCTCTCTGGCGAACAGTCGCAAACGAGTACATATCTATCCCGCGAGTGCGAGCGGCCGGGAAAAAGTGCCTTGGGGCTAGTAGCTGGCGCCGCGTAATATCTGACCGAAATATGGAAATTCTCCAGGGTGCCGTGTAGCCGAGCGCGCGGCGTGTAACGCCGATTCAACTCCGCGTACGCGCTTTGCGCTCATTACGACAAGCGTACATCCTTTCTGCGCTGCCGTAGCGGAGCTTCGTTATCGTCCACTCCACAACGCTTCGTAAGTCAGCGATAAGCGAGCAGCAACCAACTCACAAACCGAAATCGACGCGAGCAATCTCTGGCGGGACTCTGGCGGGGGCCCAGTATAGTGGCACTACGTAGCCCGACAACCTGCTGACAGCGCGCTCGTCTAATTAAATGTCCGCATGTGTGTTTAGGCCGCGCGCGAGAGATGGGAACCGCAGCGCTGTCGTTGGCCCGAGCAACGGCGACGCGCGCAGACGTACGACCGCCCGGTTTTATTGTCTTTTCTCTCTCTCTTTTCACTTTTCTTCTCTGGCTTTTTTCTCAACGCGAGAGCTTAGCAATGCAATAATTCGAGACAAATTTCCCGAAGGAAAGCAAAGGGCTAGACGGAAGCTGTTTGCGCGGCAAACTGCTGCGAGGGTAATTGATCGTTCGGGGATTAGGGCGCGGAGTAAGCTTGCGCGGACACATTGCTCTGTTTACTGCGTACAACGAAAAAGCTCTTTCAACCCTTTGTTTTCACTTGGCCTTTTATTTTCTGTAAGCCGAGTTGCTGCTTTTCCTTGATTGCGCCTCTTCAATTACACAAGAATAAGCACGAGTATCCCAAAAAGAAGCCACAAAGCAAAATGGCTGATGTAGTCGAGGCGCTAGAGCTACATCGTCAGCAGGAGCACGCAGCGAAATTTCTGGTTCGAATTGCGCGAATCCAAGTTTACGGCGAGAGATGTGCATATAGTCAAACAGGGCAGCAACACACGCACTGCCTAATCCCCGAGAGTCACGATAACGGCCGCGACGGCACGCAAAAACGATAACTCCGAAAGCCAAGAACCGAGAGAGGAGCGTTATAAGGAAGATCCTTAACGGCTTCATTGCCGAGCACGCTATCTTTTGGCAAATTATACCCTCCGAATTTTCGACCATCTCGCGCATTTCCGCTCGTCAAAGGCCAATCTTTTTCAATCTTTTACTTCCGGTGCAGCTTTTTCTTTATTTTTATTCTTTCTTCACTTGAGCCATCCTGAACGAAATTTGCAGCTTTGCATGGTTAGCCTCCGTTAATATGAAAAGCGAATTTTCTCGAAAATAAATTGTTGGCGCGTGTTCGGCCAAATAATTTGCTCGTTCAGTGTGGAGTTTTTTTGGCGCGTGAGTACTTTAAATGAATCAAAGTAGAATTGAATAAGTCGCATTAACAAAGCATTTGCCTTTCTACACTTGTTGTCCTATCAAGTAGTTCATGATTTTCGGGATCACGCAAATATACAAGATTTTTATAGCACTCAGTGGACTCTTTAACTCGCGAAATTTTGAAAAATCAAATACTCGATGAAGTATGTACACGTGCCGAGAGCAAAGTAACAATATAAAAATCCGTTTTATCCCAACCAAAAGAAAATCAAGCAACAATGTACAATTGAAAAAGTTCTTCAAACTCCATTCCAGATATACATACTCACGCGGACATCCCGTGAGACTCGTTGTCGCGAAAAAAAAAATTCATAATTTCAGCGACAATAAAGAGACGCGAATTAAGCACCAGGCGAGTAGCGAGTATTTTTCTTTGCTATCTCTCTTATTGCTTTATGTAATGCTTGCTGGCGCACGTATAGCCAGGCTAAGAATAGCTGCAGCGAACTGCTGCTGCCACAGGCAATTTAATCAAGGAGCTTGCAGAAGCGAGTTGCGTTGGGCGACGCAAACGACCTATAAAAGGAATTGTGACTTTGTCCGTCACACCTGGGATTTGCAGCTGAGGTGTCAAATTGGCTTTCGATCGAGACATTATTAATGAATCTGCCCTTTCTCGTGCACAGTGTTCGAGAACGTACTGCGTGCGTTATTGATTTCGAAATGTGAAAAAGTAACCAAGTACGCGTCGCTTTGGAAAAAAGCAAACACGCTCGCAGAAGAGGTGCTGCTGAGTTTGTCGAGCGATGATACGGAGCGAAAGAAGCGAAAGAAGCGAAAGAAGTACATCTTGGAGGGTCGCGCTCACATTTGCGCTGCCCTTGAGTCAATGATGTACACGTATTACCGCGGCCAGCAAGGGTAATGGACGATCAATGCGTGCAGCCCTTTTTATCTTGATTTTATATCCTCAATGTAAATGTACTTCTTACTACCTTGCTTATTTTCTCACAGACATTACCTCTATACCTGAAATGAAAACTCATTGAAAAGCATAACTGAAAAGATATTTTCATCGCTCGAGCCAGATTTGTTATAACAAGCTCTGTATGTGTCACTACATAATGAACGACATCATTCGAAGCTTGCAATTCATCATTCTATCTCTAGGTGAAAGAGTCCAGCGCGCTTGGCGTAATCGATTATCAGGAAGTTGAGCACACTCAGCACAATGAAAGTATAAACGACATAATTCAAGCCTTTTCGGCAACGTTCAGCCTCATTAATTGGCACATCCTGCATCAGGCTGATTACCATTCGCTACGTTTTATCTACCGAGATATACGTACACACGCTCGTGCATGGAGAAATTTTCGCTGAGGAGGGCTTTGTGCATCAATGGCTTTATGGAAATCGTATGTGTATATGTACATCGCGGATGCGCGCGCGATGAAACGAGAAAATGGAAGCGATAACGCCGTGTGCTGCCTCGCCACTCTGTTTTTGCCGACGGAGGAAAATTATCATTAAGCTAGCTCGCCCAAGCCACCCTCACGCGCGCGCGTAATAACCATCCCGTCGATACGCGTTACAACACTTTTGACAAGGCTGCCTGTACGTGACGGGAGGCTACGAATTTACTGTTGGTAGCGCGCTGCAAACTCGAGATGGAGTGGCACCTTCGCTAGCCGAGCAATCGAAATTGTTGGCTCTTTTGTGGAGCAATTTGAATGCTGTTTCTACTTTTCCGCCGACATTATTATTTCTTCGGAAAGTGCATGGTTACAATCAACTCGAAAGCTAGCTAAAATAATAATTAAAGGAATGACGAGTGAGCAAAATGAAAAGCATTTGAAGCTGCTCCTCGATAAAACCGAAGCCTACAGCGAAACATGTGTGTCACTTGGCATTGGGAGGGAGGGAGCGAGAAAGAGAAGAGAGACGCCGAGACGGCGCCACCACAGCTTCCTCGGGGGCTGGCGCCACGCGCAAGAGGGATCGTCGTCTTTTTTATTCTCTTTTATTCTTTCTCTACTCTCTCCCCGAGGCCGAAGTTTTCGCGACAGGCAGACTCTCGTATATTTCGCCGCACCCTCGTTGAAAAATAGAGAGTAACGGTCGGCGTTTCTCTCTTTCTCGCTCTCTCTGGGTCGGATAGATATACATGCGTGCAAAAAACAAACCAAAACCATGTCGAGAGTGTCCTTGTATGTACGCGACTTGACTTCGTTACTATCTCGTCAAGGATGATTTTCTTCAAAATTTCTCAATGAACGCGAGCTTTTCTGCATTACGCACCATGCTTTGGTTTACATTTCGAAAGTTGATCAATTACCTCGGAATTTCCGTTTACATTTATCGAACCGTCAGTAAAATTGTCAAAGAGCACTCGGTATTTTAAATTGGCAGTAAGTGCGCTTTGCCTGTTTGAAATAGAGCTTCTCTGAAGCGTAAAAAAAGTTTTGCTGCAATAAACACAGGAATGCGCGCTTTGGCATACTGCAAACGGAAAAAAAGGATCGACCGGCATAGGTCGGGGCACGCACGTTGGTCGCGCATTCCACTGCAAATTAGCGCTTGCGAGAGAGAGGTCAAAACAATCGTTTCCCTTGAATTAGGGGAACAATTGGACGCAGTCCCAGGCTGTGTGGCGGACAAGCTGCCACGCACACAGTGCCAGCAGAGAAAACAGGGGAGGCCTGAACGATAGCCTCCGACGAACGTTCAACGAACGTTCGTGGCGTTAATCCGATAATCCAAACGCGGCCGGCGCTGTGTACGCGCACCTACACCCCTTACATATAGTGCTCGCGCGATTTGAAGCTTGCAACGTACAGCATCAACGTCGATGATGATCGTTGGCGCTTTGCCCAAGCTAATCCTAAGTTCGCTGGCAATAATCAGCTCGAGGTACCATAAATTTGGACATCGATGCTGGCGCTGCTCTGAGGCTCGCCGCTCTTGCGCTAAATCCCAATAATCCCACTCAAGAGCGTTGCGCGTCTATCTAGCCGAGGCAAGAAATGAACTGGCTCGCAACCCGGTCGGCGCTGCTGCTGGCTAATCCAATTAAGGGAGTCGGCCAGCCGAGCGAAGCGTCCCTCACTCGCAATGAGCCACGAATTTTACGCGTTTCACGCCGCGATGCACTCGGACGTGGGGCCGCCCGATATAGACTTGATGTGTTGACTCGTCGGAAATTTGATGGTCCCCCCCCCCCCCTCCATCCTCGTTCCCTCTTTTCTCTCGCTCCCTCCTCGATGCCTGGCGGACGGGCAATATTTCGCACGATGTTCTTTTAACTGTCACT